TCCCAGATTCTTACCCTAACCCTAATCTAACTTAGGCCGGTTTTAATCTGACGCAAGAATTGATCTGAGGCACGACAAATATACATATCCATACTATATATTAAAAATGCGCGATGACTCTTGCATATTGAATAGTTTAATAACTAGTGTTTGCTCTTAGCATGCTTGCTTCTTAGAATTTTGTGTTTGCTGTAAGGTTTCTGGTGAAAAGTAGCACAGTAGTTTTTTGTATTGACAACGGCCTCGATATTAACGCATAAAATAATAATAATAATAATAATAAATAAAATGAATAAATGATATGTTTTAGCATCCTTTGGTCAGTGATCGCAAGTGACCTGAAATAACCCAAATGACTAGTCATTGGGTCATTTCAAGACCTAAATGATTTAGGTTATTTAACATATTTAAATTGATAATCTAATACGTTTTAACCAATCTGAATTGGTTACCAGATAAAAACCACTTAATTTTTATAAAAAAAACACCCAAATACTAGAGGTCGGAGCCGATTTACTTAATTCAATTTAAATTCGGTTAAACCAGCTTCAATAGTAACTCGATTTTAATAGAAACCGGTTAATAGTAAATCGGTTTTATAGTAATTTGTTTAATTTGGTTGTAGAAATCTGATAACCCGATTTAACACGGCTTATTATGAAAATAAATATTTCGCACAACTCAGCCTAAACCGGTTCCAACCTATAACAAATGCGAAGAATACAAGATAACTTCTATAGTTAAGAGGTTAAAATAAACACTCTGATTAAATGCAACTTCTAAATAATCCACGTTTTATAAAATTTTTTAAAGAGTCGACCACGAATATCGCTATTAATTTTGATGAGAGGATTATCTAAATCAATTTCACGAATATTTTGCATGCGATAACTATTCGGTTGTTCGGGTATGAGATTTATTCTTTGAGCTAAATTTATCACATTAAGTTGGTTATTGTCAAGTTCCTTGAGAATCTAAATATACAAATGAATGTAAAGAAATAATAATAAATAAAATAAAGTAAAATAAAATAACATTCTGTTTCAACGTCAATTAGAGCTTTATCGATTATTTTAGCATCTTCTATATCATTTCTATCAGTAACGTCGATAACAAAATGCAATTCATCAACACAGGCATCAAATTCTTCTGTTAGTCGCGTATATTGATTTATAACTTCTGTTGTGCTAAGATTTATTTTATAGCTTTTAAGTTTTGATATGAATTTAGTGTAGTTTTTAACCTTTTTCAAAATATTTTCGAAAGCTCTAAAAGATAAATAAAATGTTTTTGACGAAATTTATCTTGGCTATCCTTTATGCTTCTTATTATCATATACATTGAATGTTCTGCATTTTTTACTCGATTTACTATGATTAACAAATTTCTTTATTACATTCCGCATCCTCATAGATTTGATAAATTTCGTCAACTAAACTCTTCACAGTAGTGATTAAGGGGTTATATTGGGCTAGGATTTCAGAAATAAATTGATTTTGAGTTTTTAATGCTAATTTTGTTTCTGGGCGGTGATCTGGGTCTTTATCCCAACATTGTTTCTAAAGTTCAACGTATTTAGGTGGTGTACCTTCTATTATAGTTGTTAGACGAAACCTTGAGGTTTCGCGCTGACGAAACGTGAAACCTAGTTTCGTCTTTCGTCAATTAAAATTTTAAATGACGAAATGACGAAAGGTGACGAAACTGTTAAAGGGCGAGGTAACATAATGATGGCAGAAAAATCCGCGATCAGATGATTTTGATTGTTCTGAACCTCAGTATAATATCAATATCATCTGATCGCGAATTTTTCTGCCACCACTATGTTGCCTTTAAAGGGTGACAGAACTAATAAAAGACGAATATACAAATAAAAGTTGTTGAAAATCATTGAAGATGTGTGTATAAAAAATATCAGAAATTTATAAAAATTACAAAAAATTTTATTTATAATAGACGCTTTAATTGTTTAAAGGGAGTTAGAAATGAGTGTTCTATATTATATTATACATATCAGTTCTAGTGAAAAATTGCTTACTTTGTGATATTACAAATTTATTTTGTGCTAGTATGTTTTAATTCATTATTTGTGTTAATCCATGAGTACTATGGCTTTTTGACAAGGCTATTTCAACCGGACTTTAACAGCAGCCCTAGCATTGTCCAGAAAAATGAACTGATTTATTTTGCTGGCATACATGTAATTTCGGATACTCGGATACCGATCTCTGAATATTATGAATGTTAATTCAAAGAAAATAATGTTTGTTTTTTCTTTTCGGTTTTTTTTTTTTTTTTTTTTTTTTTTTTTTTAACAGGAGCACTAGGATTTCGTTTTTTGAGTGTTAGGTTTCGTCATTTTAGTTTAAGGTTTCGTCTTTCGTCAGAACAATTTGAGGTTTCGTCTTTTGGGGTTTAAGTTTCGTTCTTTCGTCATCATGCGAAAAAGGCTTCGTCTAACAACTATACCTTCTATTGGCTCTTCTCTAGTTCCTTTAATTATTTCAAAACAGAGCTTAGTTCTTGATCCAACTGATTCGAATGGCGGTCTTCTACTTGAAACTTCCCAGAGTATTGCCATTTATCACGTCTATATTTACTACTTTCAACAAAACATTGAGACTCCATATATGCTACCATTCCAAGAAGATCTGTAGTTGAAGACATTGTTGTCTCATTCATCTGTTTTGATAATCCAAAATCAGCAATTTTTGGTTGCTCTCGATTAATTAAAATATTCTTTGAAAGCTATACAAATGTCGATTAATAATGCATTAGAAAATTTATAATTACATATTACAAAATACTTACAAGGTCTCGGTGAATAATATTATTACCATGTAAAAATATAAGGCCATCTAATATTCCCTTGGCAATAAATAATTTATCTTTCCACTGTAATGTATAAAAATTCTTTTTTAGATATTCTCGCAAGTTTCCGTCATTAGCATATTGTAAAACGATATTATAAACTCCCCTATTATCTATTTATTATCAATAATTATCTAATTAATTATCAATAGCTATCTAATTAATTAATATTTATATTCCAAAGAATATAAATTGTTAATACCTTTTGTGACCATAAAATTTAATAATATTTTGATGGTCAGAAACACATTGTAATAATTTAAGCTTTTTGCATATAAATTATAAAATTATGAGTTTTAACATATGATATAATAATTGTACAGGATAAAATATAGCAAAGAATATTACCTCCTTAATTAAATCCTTAGCAGTTCCTTCATCTATATTCACTTTAAGGCATTTACACGCTACAGTTAATTCTTTGTTCTTCCATTCATATTTAGAAACAGTTCCAAAGCCTCCTTCACTAATTATTATTCCACAGTCACTAAAATATCGTATTCAAGATAATTGATTACCTTTTCTGCCTTAGATACTTCAATTAATTAGTGGATAACGATTCTTTGAGATTTTTAATCAACAAAAAAATGTGTTTATATGTCCAAATTTGTCCATTTGCAACTCTCAGTTATCGTTATCGTTATAAAAGTATTTTGAGCTTTTACTGTATTACAGTAGCGGAAAAAGTAATGCCCGATCTACAAATCACATCACATGAACAAATAAATAGGTAATGTATTCCCATTTCTCTGATTTTTTGAAGCAAAATTTTTTTATTTTTTTCTTTAACTTTAGAATACACCACCAAAGCAAAAAAAAACCCACATACCTACCATAAGTTGCCACACACCTAGCAACTAATAAAAGGTAAAAATACACCTTTTTTTGCCAAAATATGACTGTATAACATGTTATACAAAAATAGGTCACAGTTCACGATTATTTGAAAGTTTTTTAAGGCATATAAGAGAACTAAAAAAATAAACCAATTTACTATGTTTAGGCGTTTTTTAGCTTTCAAGAAGAAAAGCAAGTTATACTATTAAAAAAATGTGTTGAAAAAATAATACAAGCCATTGTGAGGCTCTGTGAACGATCTCAGGCCTGTGCAACTTGTTGGTCATAGCCAAGTTTCTGTATTTAAATTTTATATAATAGTAAAAGAGCTATATATATTTAATAAGCAATAATTTAATTAATTGTAAAATTTTGTTTAAAAAAATATATATATAGGTAAAAGTCTTCATTTTTTTGACAAAACAAAAAAAGAGATGAGCAAACAAATATACCACGTTAATATATGGTATTATCAGTGTTGGGCAAATTAGTGGTCGGCCAAAAATTTACTGGTCAAATTGGTCTAGTCAAATTGGTCAAATCGTCGAACTGGTCAGATCAGTCAAATATATTATAAATATAATATATATATATATTATATAATAAAATTATACTTAAATATACTATTTGACCAATTTGACCAGCACAGATCCTTTGACCAGACTGGTCAAATTGGTCAAATTGGTCCGGTCCAACGGTCAAACCGGTCTGGTCAAACCAACACTGGGTATTATATAATAAAAGAATACAAAGATAAGCATTTTATATTAGATTTTGGGATCACTAGGCTTTGGTAATTATATAAGGGTGCTTCATGGGTAAAATTAAAAATTTGTTAGTATTTTTTTAAAAAAATTAATAAAAATTTTTATATTTAGATTTATAAAATTGTCTAGTTCTATTTTATATTTATTTTTTATTTCTTGGTCAAATTAATTTACTGTTTTATTGTGCCTATTATTGTAATTGTATTATAAAAAAAGCTATTAAATAAAAAAATCAATTTATAATATAAATAATAAAGCCTTCCTAACCTAAACCTATTAAAAATATCTATTAAGTATTAAAAATGAAGATCTAAAAGTTTCAAGTTTCTTCAGAAACTAGAACAATTTTAAAGCCATTTTAAATAAATCAAGTTATGTTTGTTTTTTGGGTAGTTTAAACTTAATACTGTAAAGAATAATGATATTTTTTAATGCTTATATGTATTTATCAATGTATTAACTAGTTATTAAAAAATTTTATTAGTATATGTAGTACAAAATTAAATAAATAATCTTTTTTGTTTTATCAGAAAATTGGATATTATTATTATTTTTTTTTAATATTAAGTTAACTATTCAGGCCCCTGGTATATAGCTTTATTCAAATAGTTACAATATTACATCATGTTTATAAGAATACAACTAACTACATGTACTCTTTTGAGTATCTAATTAAGTAGTCCACAACTAAGCTATTTTTAACCTAGAGTTCTACACTAGCTATCATATCTATAACCCAACTAGAGAGTTACCAATTTAAATCTTCTGGCTTTATTTTTGTAACATGCTTTACCCTAATACTCTTCGAAATTAGCAATACCATGGAATAACCCTAGACTTTAGCCACACAGGCATTTATTCTTGTGGTAAGCCTAACAGAACAGTACATGTCCCACACATGTGCTTACCTGCTTGTTTGGTAACTTTTTTGTAACTAGTATATGGGGTGGAGTGAATAGAAAGAGGACAAATTTATCT